TTATTTATTATTATTATTTTTTTGTAGAATACTTGCAGCTGTTCGTCCAAGAACATGAGCTGTAGTTACAGCGTTATTCTCAACGATTACCACTGCTACTGTAAGCTTGGATACGGAGGTCCTAACTGTGAAACTGGTTAGTATCGGCACTCTTAGCATTGTTTTCGTACATCATACCTTTATTGATTTTCAATGGGACCGACTGAGTTTGAAAATAGTAATACTAMGGAAACAATTATGCTAACGAACGACGGCCATTTTTGCAAATAAGGTATTGACTATTTTTAAAATTCCGGTAATGTGGACAGGAATTGCCTMAGATACCTATAAAAATTGCAGGTCTTAATTCCAATTTCATTTTTTTCAAGATAGCGACATGTCACTATCGYTACTCGTACTAAGATGCTTCCAGCTTTTAATTATAAATTTGTTGGATTTAAACACCTTCTAGAGAAATACATATAATACTCAAGTACAATGTCCTATTTATCATTTACCAAAAGCCAAACGATACATATAAAGATTGCACTGTAATCTTTTATTCTAGATTTGAATCTCATCGCCATTTATCCACTGAATTCTCRCTACCAAGCAAAATCTTTACAGAGTGATGCACCAGACGGTGTTATCAGTAACGTCACATGCTCTAAGGATTTAAGCTCTCCACTTGGAGGATCGTGCGAATTCAAAGGTTTCCAAAGCAGTTATATCGAGATACCAAATTACGAAAATGGAAAGCTCGATCTCAAGGGCTCGATGACATTCCTKGCRTTCATAAATGTAGAGAGGGAAGGTCCTTTACTTCAGTATAATGCAAACACATATTCTGTTCATTGGTGGGCCGTGCAAGACATTAATTTGTTCGTACGCATGAAGGAAAGATCCATGCCCGCTCAAAATCCTCCCRAARCCCGATCTCCCATTCCTAAAGGTCACTGGAACTATGTTGGCATGACTTACGACAGATCTACTGGTGTGAATAGTTTGTGGATTGAAGGAGAACGGAACGCATCGACAGCCATAGGTAGTATGGACATGGCCACTCACTTTGAGGTGCGAATGGGAGCTACAAACTTTGATTCGCGTTCCTTAAAAGGAAAAATTACCTGCCTCCAAGTCTACAAAAAACCTTTGGATGAGTTTCAAATTAAACAGGCGAAACACCATTGTGATAGATACGTGTGAATACCATTTTAAATGGTGGACACCCACTAAGAAATGGACAGTCAGTTAAAACAAAGATTATGTCATTACTTAGGACCAAAGTTAAAGTGCGAATGACACCTTTTAGAAAATCACTTTTATCCGAAACAGTTGTGTAAAAAGATAAATTTAACACCTTAAAATTTTTGAAATAACGTTTCGGACGTTAATCCTTCGTTGGAGTAAAGAGGAAGTGATTTCACATCCTTTTTTACGGTGTTAAATTTATCTTTTTACACAACTGTTTCTTTAGAAACACCGACGCAGCTCACACTAGTTAACCGCTAGTTTCCACCATTTTATCCGAAAGGTAACACGCTGCCAAGCACTTCTATGAAGAAAGAAATAGATTTTGAATTGTATTTTCTGAGTTATAGACATTTGAAAATTGAAAATGCAAATGAAGTGCCGTCAACTAAGGAATTGATGCAGACTTTTTACATTGTTTGTTGTAAGCTACTCGTTCTTGAAGAGTTCAAAACAACAATCATAGTAATAATTTTGAGATGAAAATGCTTTTTCTCAATGTACCAAA